TGGGCTGCGACCTGTCCTGGGGAGGGGTCCTGGTCCCTGCAGCCAGACCCAGGCCCCCCAGCCCCACCACACCCCAGCCTTTGGTGTGTCTCCCCCCCAAAGCCTGGGCTGCCTCTGTGCCGCGGCAGCTCCTGGGTTGCATCGCCCGCAGCCGAGCCCCCATCCTCTCCCGCTCCAGGGCCCTGCCTGTCCGGTACGCTGGGGCTCGGGCAGTGGGAGGACGGAGCCCCACCCTGCGGGGCTTATCCAGGGGAGCCTGCACATCACTGTCCTCGGGGAAGGAAACCAGGGCAGCCCTTGGTTTGGAGCCCAATGTGGGGCAAAGCAAAGCCAGGCTCGCAGCACTGCTCTGGGGGTCTGCACAGCATCAGCATCCACCAGCAGCAAACCTGGTGTCCCGTTGACGGTGGTGGCAGCGAAGGGGAGCGGGGCCGAGGAGGCAGGGAGGGGCAGCCAGGGAGGGATATCGATGGCCCCTTGGCAAACACCAGACAGGGATCAATTAACTGCTAAATACCTGATTAGGCCCTTTGCTCTAACACAGCCAGCCTGGCCACCCCGGTCAAACAGGGTGAGCTGCACCTGTGCCATGGCCAAGGGCTGCCCATTGCCTGCTGGGGGGACGGCGTGGGGCTGCCAGCCCGTGCCTCTCCTGCACGCCCACCCACCATCCATCCTCACAGCCCTACGTGCACCCGCGGGCTCTCCTCCCTTGCACACACGTGTGACTGCACCCACTGCCGCACACAGACGCCCACTGTGGCGCACAGCAGCAGCCCCCGCCAGCAGCCGAGAGGCTGTGAACGCCTGAGCCAGTGTGCAGGGCAGCGCCGGCAGCCCCTCGGATGCTTTACAACCCGCTGTGGCAGCCTCTCGCCCATGAAATACATCTGTGGCTCAGCCCGTGGAGACAAGCTCCTTAATTGTGTGTGTGGCCGATTTATGGTGCGGAGGGATGGAGGGGGGCAGGCGGGGGGGCTGTGCTGCCAGCCGCCGTCCCCCAGCCGGCAGGGCCGTCGCGCCTGCGAGGAAGGCAGTGGAGCCCGCGCCGGGGGCACGGTGGGGACCACATGCAAACCCAGCATGAATAATCCCGCTACAGATCTGCAAGTCATTGGCAGGCTCGCTAGCACCTTCCCGTGCTGACTCAGCTGCTCGGGGACACGCCAGCCAGATGCACCTGCCAGCGCAGCCTGGGGCTGCTGATGCTGCAGGACAGTGGAGCCCCTTCTCCGGCACTGCCCCGAGCCGGGCAGCCAGGGCAACGCTCCTGCCTGCGCCGCAGGTGCAAACCCTACCTCGCAGGCTAGAGGGTTTCCATCCTGTGCTCGGCCTGGCCCCGGTGCCTGAGCCTGCTCCGGGAGCGGGCAGACACTGACCAGTCACAGCAGTCGCGCTCCCAGTGCCCGACCCTCCCCGCCTGCATCCCTGATGCCCAGTGCCCAACCCTCCCTGCCTGTGTGCACGGAACCAGCAGCAGGAGCAGCCTGCAGCACTCCCGCATGCTCCGCACTGGACACTCGTCCTTGCTGTCACCATAGCCAGGATCAGCCACCGTCACAGCGGGGACGGGCACTGCTGCCCAGCCAGGAAGAGGCAGCGGGCAGGGGAATGCAGACAGGTGCTGGGGCAGGGACCGTCCCAACCTGCCCAGGTCTCAGGCCCCGCTGGCTCCTTGCCAGCCCGTCCCGACAGCCACGTTCATATCTGTTATTAATTAGGGCTGTCGCAGTGCTTGTCAGCCCAAGTATTATTTCATTCAGGGACCATTAGGTTCCCCTGTTTTGCTGCTCGCTGTCGCCGGGGCTGCTGGTGCTGCAGAGGCGCAGATCTACGGCTCCCAGCACCTCCCTCCCGTCAGCGCTGCCCTTCCATCCCCAGGTGGGAACGGGGCTGCTTGGCTCGGTGGCGGGGGCTGCCGGGGGCAAGGGGCCCACGGGAAGGGGGATGGCGATGGGTTTGGCTGTGAGATGCTTGTTGACATCACAGGGTAACGGCTGCTGCTCGGCTCCGCACCCCACGCTGCCTGCGTCTTCCCCTGCCGGCTGCTCTGGGCTGCCTGTAGCGTGGGAAAAGCCCCGTCCCTGGGCAGCCCCAGGGCCGCTCTGCTCCTCCCAGGAGGGTTACTGGGGCCCCGGCCCCACGGTAGCCCCTGAGCTGGCACCAGGAGCAGCCCCTTCCCTGGGTCTCTCCCTGTGCCGAGTGCCTGGGGGGTCCTGGGGACCCACCTGTGCACCCCAGGGGAGGCAGCCAGATGGCACTGGCCTGCAGCCGGGTGCTCCCAGCTTGCGTTGCCCAGCCCTGCGGGGAGCCCATGGTGCAGTGCCGGCCTGTGGGTGCCAGGGACAGGGGGGCTCCGACAGGCGTCACTTGCTTGCGCACCGCACGTCCCTCCCGGGGGCGCAGGGGATGCTCCTGCACAGCTTTTTTTTCTTGCACTAAAAGAAATTCTGATTATTAATGGCCCATGGCCCTCATTTAGTAAATGAGACAGGAGATTAGCGCGGTGCCCGAGACCGAGTGCGGAGCAAAGCTGGCGGTATTTAACACAGCACGGGGGGCATGAGCAGCACCCTACCACCCGAGCTGCCCATCTGCCCGGGCGGGACACTGGCAGGGGTGTGGCACGGCCCTGTGCCGAAACACCATGGCCCCGGGGACGGCAGCAGAGGGGCTGGGATAGGGAGTCGTGGCCTTTGCTGTCAAGGGGAGAAGCGGCTCTGGGAAGTGCGGCACATGCTCCTGTGTCCCGCAGGCTGGCGGGTGTCCCGCTGCCTCCTGGCTCCTTGGCAGAGCACCGCATCGAGAAACCCGGGGCCAAGGGAGCCCCTGGGGCCAGGGGAGCCCCCCAAGAGCGGCTCCGTCCAGCCGGCTGTGGGACGCCCAAGCCCAGCCCCCTGGAGGGCAGCCAGCGGGACCCCAAGGTGCCCTGCGCAGCGTCCCCTGCGCAGCGTCCCCTGCCCTGCCCATGGCTCAGCCCCGCGCCACCAGCCCTGCGCAGCGGCTGCCGCAGCAGGCAGGGGGTGGATATCATCTTTAGCTGATTAAATGTCCCTCATTAACGAGTTTCTTTAATTAATGAAGTTTTTTTGTTTGCTCCACTTGCTTTCTCCCCACCGCACTCTGCCTCCTCAGCACAATCCAGGCCATTTCCTTTCAAGTCATTTAGCGCGTGGGGCCGGTTCCTGCCGACGCCGCACTTTGGTGATTGTGCCTGTCAGCTCGGGGCTGACGACGCCATTTTTAACATTTGCTCCTTTTTAAGAAAATAACGCATCAGGAGCCCCCGAACACAGAGGATGCGTCTGAGCAATTAGCCGAGCGCAGAGCACCTGCACTAATGAGAGGGCACCCGCTGGCCCTGGGCACCCTGCAATGTGCCGCCACACCGCACCCGCGATGGGCGTCCTGCTGGTATGGTACAAAGGTGCAGCGTGCGAGATTCCCTGAGTTATCAACTGCTCACGAGCAACAGTCACCCACTGCCACCCACCTCCGGCCACGGACGGACAGCGTGGTGGCCCTGTGGTGGCCCTGCAAGGCCAGCCAGCAAGCTATGCCCACGCTCAGCCAGAGCCTCTGCTTGCACACACGGTCATGATTTATAACCAGGCGGCAGCCTGTCCTGGGGCTGCTCCCCTTCCCTGTGACCCCACAGCTGCCACCAACATGCCCAGAGTTTCCTCCAAAAGCCTCACGGCCATCCTGCTGCCTTGGCCCGTTCCTGCTCTCGTCTCCAGCCCAGGGCAACCCCCACCTGGCCAGCTCTGCCTGTGGATGTCCCCTTCCCACGTGCTGTGCCAAGGCCAGTGCTGCTGGTGCAGGGTGCAGGGGCGGCACGGCACTGCCTGGTCCCAGCATGGCACCGCCTGGTCACGGCACATGTGCAGCCTGGCTGGACAGCAGTGTGCCAAGCCCTGGAG